GTGACATTAACCGTGCCTTTAATCACCCGAAGTGACCGGAAGACGCCTGAATTTATCACTTTGCCAAGCATTGCTCTTGAAAATTTAATTAGTGACATATCATTGGGGCTGAGTCCGCTGAGTCCCGCTAAGTAATAAATTCAAAGTAAGAGGTTTAGTTTTTCTTTTCAAATAACGACGATGATTACGTACGTAAGATTGACGAAGGCTTAAGTGATCGCCAATGGAATCATCGACAGATGTATATGAACGCGAATCCGAGAATATTCGAAGGAAAGTCAAAGCCTCGTTAGATTAGACGTTAGATTAGATTCCTGTAGATCATAATTTAATAAAAATATTTAAAGGACGTAGCATCGAAATGGTTGGTTACGGCTCAAATGTGCAAGGTGAGACACATTGGTATGCAACTTAAGACAAAACCTAAAATAAAGAATCTAGATTTGCGTCCAAAATCACGCAGTCACGCCTCTGGTGCGATGCCTTGTACGTGTTAATAGGTATTTTTATTAATCAGAGTACGTACATACATGCTGATTATATCGTTTTATTTTATATTACCGTTACGGTTTCACTAAATTACACCAATGGGGTTTAACTAATGTGGCTCTCATTTTTACATTTACCTAAGTTTCGATAAATTAGATTTCGTATAATTTTATAATGTTATATGTAAAATACCAGCAATACAAAGTTGGGGAAATTATATAAGAGCCCGAGAAATGAAAATAATTACTAATAAGGGCCCAAAATTAAAATAGTTACATGTAAGGGCCCAAAATTAAAATAGTTATATGTAAGGGCCCAAATTTTGAAACATATTACAATCAATAGTCCAAATTTATCGTACGTAATTAATTTAGGTTGAAATTTTAACATTTAAAATTATACAAATGTATTTTTTTTTTAACAGTTAAACGTATATATTACCTTTTAATCAGTATTGTATTTATTTTCTTAAAGTCTTGATGTAAAAATTATAACTATTTTTGCCAATTTTTAAAAGTAATTTAAATTTCTCTACGAATACAGATGACCTTTGCGGTTCTAAATATCTTCGATTAATGCACAGTAACCTTTACAAAACATGTTTCACTAGTTTATAGATATGTTAATTTAGAACCGAATAGAATAAACGTTACAAGATTGATAAATATAATGCTTAACCTAATTGAATTGTATCTTGGTTAAGAAAAGCTTCATTAAACGAAAAGATATAGTATAAAGTAATCCATATTACATTGACAATGTTCAAAGAACCATTATTATAATGCAAAGCTATTTTGGCCCTTAATTGTAAAATTTTCCAAAATTTGGGCCCTTATATGTAATTATTTTCACTTCGGACCCTTATTTGTAATTATTTTCGTTTTTCGGGCCTTATATGTAATTTCCCCTACAAGTTTTGCATTGCATTTTAAATGATGAAAAGTAAAATTACGTAAATTACATAATTTTACACTAGGCTTAACTTCATAGTTTCTATATCTCAAAATTTGTCTAATTTAATCTAACTAATAAACTTTGATGTTAAAATTGCTATATATATATAAAATATATATAGTGTTGGTGTGGTTTAAATGATGATTATATTAAATGGTTGCGTATTTGAATTTTAACACTGGTGATAGTAAAAAAAATAAAATAACACCTTGTATTTAAACACAATGCTACGCATAAAATCCGGCACGGTCACACTCCCGTATATATAGTCGTCTATACTGTAAATCACATCTCTGTATATAAGAATTTTGTTTAAAAAAGTTATTATGGTCTCAATTAGAAGTTTATAGGGTGTGTGACTGTAATAAATAACGAGACATGTATTGATATAAGCGCTAGTCTCATATAATACCTAAAGTAAAAACTTTCGAAATCAAGACTGAGGACTTTTGCTATATTTATTTTTCAAAAAAAAAAAAAAAAAAAAAATTAAAATTAATATGTACTTAATAATTTCATTAGAGATATGACGATAATAAATAAGCTTACCATATAACAACAATAACTTGTTGGGTTAGTAAAGCGTGCGACTCAAAATGTTTTATAAAAAAAGTCTCCAATTAAATAACGATAAATTATAAGTTTAGAGATAGACTCAAAGCCATAAGAGACGATCACAGATTCATCGCAGTTTTTTTCCTTTTTTGAAAAATATCTAAGCCCTTTTAAATATTATATGCCGTTCCAATAATTACATGTGTATATTAAATAGACATCCGTTTAACCGGCAGTTTCTTCAATTAAATGATAAATAAGTTGTACTGCAGAATAGAACGGACATACGGTCGGTAAGACTTGTAAACTTTAAGATTATATACTACTGTCCTTTTGATGATAAAAAATCTCAACATGAAGAGTTTTCTTCTTTACGTACTGTGTGTATTAAATTTCCACATGCCCGTCCTAATTTGCATTTCCGTAGCTGCTTCTTTATTATATTTTCAAGATTCACGCGTTAATATAATAATATCTTATATACGCAAATGAAGAATGAAGAATGATTATCAATTTTGCCAATTCGCAAATTCACAGCCTTTTAACTTTTCAACATTAAAGCTGTAATGCTTCGCTTAAAATAGATAATAACATTAATATATTATTTATTGATCAAAGCCTTCTTTCTATCACGCCACGATTTTTCTGTAAACACAAAATCCTCACATTTATTTTGATTATATATGTAAAAGATCGATCTAAGCCCTAGCTACGATCATCTTCGATTGCAAGGAGGGGCTTGGATGTCCATGATCTTTCCTTTTCTTCCGCGGCTGTGAACGCGTGGGCTCGATCTCATATCCATGAACTTTTTTACTGCTTCGCGTGTCTTAAGGATCATACCTTCTTACAAAATATAAAAACCCCCTTTGCAACATTTTGCTTACCAGAACTCAAAAACAATAATAATTCACAAAGTATAGATATTTTTTTAATATTTGATATTCGATTTAATATTAAAAATTAAAAAATAAAAGTAAAAAATAAATAATTAATAATAAGTAAAATACACATACATAATGAAACTCTCTTTATCAATAATCTTACCTATTCTTATGACCGCTGTGTCAATCACAGCCGTTCCTGATGGTAATATTTTATATGTAATGTGGATTTTCATGCCTATTTTCTATATCTCAAATCACATTAATCTTTAAAAACTTAACGTCGTAGCTGAACCCAACCAAAAGCGTGACCCGGTGTCTTTTTATAAACATAAATATTACAAGCGTTACCCGGAAGCCATAGCTGAACCAGATGCCGAAGCAGATCCTAAACACAGAAAATATGTCAAACGTGACCCAGAAGCCGATGCTGAATCCGATGCCGAAGCAGATCCTAATTATAAATATAAACAACATAAATATAAAAATTACAAACGTGACCCGGAAGCCTATGCTGAATCCGATGCAGATGCTAAATACGGTCATCAAGGTCATAAATATTACAAGCGTGACCCAGAAGCCATAGCTGAACCAGATGCCGAAGCAGATCCTAAACACAGAAAATATCTTAAACGTGACCCAGAAGCCGATGCTGAATCCGATGCCGAAGCAGATCCTAATTATAAATATAAACAACATAAATATAAAAATTACAAACGCGACCCGGAAGCCTATGCTAAATCCGATGCCGAAGCAGACCCTAAAAAACACGGTTATCATGCCTACTATGTTGATAAACATACTTATTACAAGCGTAATCCGGAAGCCATAGCTGAATCCGATGCTGATGATGTATACGCCTATTATAAACATCACAAGCGTGATCCGGAAGCCGTATCTTCAAATTCTTATTCATATGATGATAAAAGTTATAGCAAGAGTTCAGACTATAGTAAAAGCTCCGACTATAGTAAAAGTTCCGACTATAGTAAAAGTTCCGACTATAGTAAAAGTTCCGACTATAGTAGTGACTATGGTAGTACCGACTACGACTATGGTAGTACCGACTACGACTATGGTAGTACCGACTACGACTATGGTAGTACCGACTATAGTAGTGACTATGGTAGTACCGACTATGGTAGTACCGACTACGACTATGGTAGTACCGACTATAGTAGCAGCTATGGTTATTGAAGGTATATTATTTACCTTTATATACACAACCTCATTTCCTTTTCACAGGTTATGAAAATTCCTGTGAACTTATATAAATTATTTTATTATTGCTTATTATTATAGATATTATAACTCTTCAGTTTTTATTTGTGAACGGTATATTTGCGAATAATCTTTATTTTTTTTGTATATTCTGTTATTTTTTTGGTTTTTTTGTGTAAAATTTAAATCTTTTTTCAATAAACTTAAGAACAGAACACTATTAAATATCATTAAATATTAGTATTGCGAAAGCATGTTAATTATTGTGAATAAAATGCATTATCGTTATGAGCCCTAAAAAATGAATGTTCTCTGACGAACGCTTGTATAATTAATTCATAGATTGCCTTTTTGTTCTCAATTCCATAAACAATCATAACCATTTCCTAGGAACTCTTTCATCAAAATTTTAACTCTAGACCTAAACAGTCATCATCAACATTATTTGCTTGATAAATAGTCGAATGCGGCTGGTACTCAAAATTAGTGGTTGCTACAGAAATCTCAAAGTTTTGAAGTTTTGCTAGCTGTAATAAAGCTATAACTACCGTGAAATTTACGAATCTCAACCTCGACATTTTGGATGGTTGTCATTGAGTAAATTGGTTTTTCAAGATATCAACTATATAACTGATTGTAAAGAATTAGGATAAAGGAATACCATATCTACGACAAGAAAAATCAGCAGTCCCGTGATAACGATCACCAATATCTTCTAGCGCACCAATTTTGTCACGGCAGATTCTCGATTTTGATTGGCTAACTGCCGTGACCTACAAAATTTTGGCCCGCATTACATAATTGTTTACATAATTTTTGGCCGGAATTACCTTTTTAACTTTTTCATTCCAAAAATGGAAATTTTTAGAGAAATAGGCCCGCACAATCATTGTTGACACTGGAATTCTGGAACCCCACTGTAGGGTAGGGATGTGGTATTTTTAAAGATCCGTACCCGGTCCGAACATCGATTCGGATCTAAAATTAGGGTCCGAACTCGTATCGCTTAGATCCGTGAACTTTAAAAATTTATAGATGCTATAGTTGACGATGTCCTAACGTCCTCGCTAAAAAAAAAAAAAAAAAAAAAGACGATTACAGCTGTTTTTATAAATTCTGTTAACCTATAAATTATATGTTTACGAATTAAATTATATTTGAGTGCGCGAGGGGGAAAAGGTGCAAGTAACACAAAATATTGTACGATTTGACCAATCAAATTTTAAGATCATTCTGATCTTGAAATTTGATTTGTCAAAATCGTACAATATTTTGTGTTACT